ATTACCCCAAATTTGCAAGACTATTACCAAAAAAATTAATCTACTATCATTTGCTATCTCTCTCTCTATTGTATGTGATTTTTCTGATTTTTTTTTCTGTAATATTTGGAGTTCAGTTACACATACCATGGTTTCTTACTCTTAAATACTTCAGTGTGATTTGGGATATGCTCTCGCATAAAATAACCAAAGGGCAATGATCAACTTATGTAAAATTAGTGTTCACACACAAAATTCTCCTAACCCAGTCTTGGCATTCCAGGTTCGTCACTCAGCCAGAGGCGTGCTCATTTATAGCATAACGTTTCTCCAGTACAAGTAAAACTGACAGATTTGCTGTAGAATATGAAGTAAAGTGTCATTCTGGGGACTGGCTGGACCCAGAGGTGCAGATGACATATGTCAGATACAAGTCTCTGTTCCCCTCCCAGGCCCATTTCTCCCTGGCAGGCAACGGGGAGGAAGGATTCACTCATTCGCCAGGCCTGGAGTCTCCCAGTGGGGTCAGCCTGACCGGCAGAGTGAAGGAGGCATTTTCCCCAAAGACAGAGAACAGCTGCAGAACACACAGAACATCACTTAGGAAGGACTTACATTTGGGGGGCAGCGTTTCTCAGAGCATGGGGCCCAGGCATCAACAGCAGCCACCACCGCAAACAGCCCTGAGAACTTGTTTGCAGCCAACTTCTCCATGGCTACTCCAGACTTACTGAAAGCGAGGCCCGGCAGCTGGGCGTGAACAAGTCCTCCAGGTGACTCTAATGCCTTCATCTGAGGATGTAAAGCCGGTCTGCAAAAAGAGTTCAAATACAATGACTTAAGTAAAAATAGAATTTGCTTTCACACTCTCTTAGGTAAAACTCCAGAGGAGAATGACCCAGACTTGGACCCAGACTGGACTGTTTGGAAGCAATCCCAACCCTTCTATTATTTCACTTCATCATGCTCTTTCGAACGGTTTAGAAAATGAACTTCTGAGCCAGACTGTCTAGACTTGATTCAGGTTCTGCCACTCAGCTGGGTGATCTTGGGTAAGTTTCCTTACGCTCTGTGCTTCAAAAGGGAAAGATGGAGGGCCCTTCCCCGTGGCCAAGGGGTTAAAGCGCAGCACTATGAAACCATCAGCAGTTAGTTCGGTCCTCAGCCAGGGAGCTGACCCACAGGGCAAATCAGACCTCTCCTGACCCACCTGCTGCTCGCCTCAGCAGTGGATTTCAGTCCATCTGTCTGTTCGACTCACCTCTCTGTCTCTGGTGAATCCGCTCACTCCCCCACAAGTCCCCACCTCTGGCCTCTACCCCAGTTCTTATATGCATAAATAAATAAAATCTTTAAATGGGGCCCTCCCTGGTGGCATAGCAGGTTAGGATGCAGCACTGCAAGCTGGCCACAGTGGCCTCAGTGCAGGTTCTATCCCCAGCCGGGAGGTGACCCACATGGTGCAGGTGCAGCAGACCTCTCTTGTCTTGCCCTCACCGATCAGCCTGTTCTGCTCCCCATTCTGTCTCTGGTGAATCCTCTCACCGCCCCTGTACCTCTGGCCTGAACCCCAGTTCTGTATGCATAAATAAAAAATCTTTTTTTAAAATCAAAGAAAAATGGAATGGAGATGGTAATAGTATTCATGTCGTAGGGTTGATGTGAGGATTAAGTGAGGTGATAAAGCAGCACCATGCCTGGCACAGGGGACATGCAGCCGACTTATCGGCTGTGCTGCTGCGGTGGCTGATGGTGAAGATGACGACGACAGCGATAACCCCCAGTCTGCGGATCAAGCGCTGGCCCTGGGCTCTGCGCGCCGGGGCTAGGAGGCTTGGGGTGCGCTGACGCGAGGCGGCCGTCAGAGGGCGCCGTGGAGCCCGGGCCGCGAGAGGGTGATCCGGGGACCGCTGTCCTCTGGACATTCCGAGCAGAACACAGGCCCTAGCAGGTGCCCAGGGCCTAGCAGCGCTGGGCCTGGAGGCTCGTGCCTCCAGACAGTATAGAAGCTAGGATCCTAGGTGTTGGGTCAGAAAACAAACAAACAACAAAAACCTATAGTCTGTGCACATCTTCCAGGTCCGGTGTATAGGGAGAGGGGGGAAATGAGAAGGGTATGTGGGGCTCTCAAAACCAAACCCCACTTTACTCCTAGGATGCTGAAATTTGACCTCAAAGGTTCCTGCACTTTGATCACCTCATCCCTGTTCCTGGGATATTTATGCAGCAAGGGGTGTGTGTGTGTGTGTCTGTGTGTGTGAGAGAGAGTGTGTGTGTGCATGTGGTTGGAGGGAAGTTCCCTCTCACAGGGTTTCCGGAGGGCAGGCACACCGAGGTCTGTATGCATTTGTTCTCTGTGAGGGTCCAGGTTTTCAAAGGAACATGGGGCCCCAGAGACCATTTGGCTGCTTGGGGCTCTCTTCCTCCAGGAAGTCTTCCCTGATGTTTCCTGAGTCAGTTGACTCTGAGCACGCATAGCCTCTCACCCTCCCCACGCCCCACCTGGCCCCTACCCCAGCATGACTGGCACCTGTGGCTATGTGTCTGTGCCTCTACTTCAGGAAGGCAGGGGCCAGGGCTTCCACCTACAACAACAGGTGACCCACACTGCCTAACACAAAGGCTGCCATACAACTACAGGTATTTAGAAAACACTTCGGGGTCTCCCTGGTGGCACAACAGGTTAAAGCGCAGCTCTATGAAGAGGTCCACAGCCACTGCAGTGCTGGCCGCAGCCGCTTCAGTGCTTCAGTGCAAGCTCAATCCCCGAGCTGACCCACATGGCGCAGCAGACCCCTCCTGACCCACCCGCTGCTCCCCTCAGCAGTGTACTTCGTCAAACCGCCTGTTCTGCTCCCCGCTCTGTCTCTGGTGAATCTTCTCACCCTCCTGCACCTCTGGCCTGTACCCCAGTTCTGTATGCAGAAATAAATAAATCTTTTAAAAAAGAAAATACCTCGCTGGAACATCCCCCTCACCTCACCACATCGTCAGGTCTCAGCTTGCCGGTGTCTAAGTGCTCTCCCGAGGGCCGCTTAGCCCTGAGCGGAGTGAGAGTTTGTGTCCTTGACACTCATTCCAAGGTGGGTAGTATATTGAAAATATTTGTGGAATAAGGGGGTCAGTGTTTGGATACATGCGTCCTTGTATCCAATGGAGCTACTTCCTCACCTTCTTTGTAGAGACTTTTCTTTTTTTTTTTTTT